GAGATGAGGTTTTGCCATGTTAGCCAGGCTGGTCTCAAACTCCTGACTTCAAGTGGTCTGCCCGTCTCAGCCTCCCAAAGTGCTGAGATGACAAGTGTGAGCAGCCACACCCAGCCCACTCTTCGTAATTTAAAAGGAGGAAGAAAATGATCTGACATCTGCGAGAGGAACGGCAGCCAGAAAAAGCCCACAGCCGAGGCATGACACTCAGCAGAGACCCCACCACTGGGCAGGGCCCTCTCGGGGCAGGCTCCAGCAGCCCCCTGTCCACACCTGCTCCCTGAAGCCTCCCTGGGGAGCCGGAGCCTGCATTTCCTGAGCTTCAGGCCAGGAGTAGCACCCACATGCTCTTCCCAGCATTGTCATGCTTATTCCATCACAAGGGTGTGGGCCCCGAGGCATGCCAGCGCTGGGCCAGGCACAGAGGTGACACAGTGAGACACAGCGGGGAGATGGCACCACCTCAGCAGTCCCACGTGGATCCTTTAGGGGGATGGGTGGCCTAGAGACAAGCCCAGCCCACGGGGTGGAGGCCGGTCGATGAGCATCCGTGGCGAGGTCACGAAGGAGGCCGCTTGTTCCTCAAGGCCGTTGTGCCCCTTCCTAGCCCTTCCTGCCACACCCTGCCAAACAGGGAACTGACAACGGCCTCAGGTCCGGCCTGTTTCAGAGGCCACCAGCAGATCACTGGAGGTCAGCGAGGGCCCCTGGAGGCGCCGGCCGCAGGGTCGACAGGCAGAATCCTGCAGCACGGGGCACACTTCCCAGTGAGAGCGCACTCTGACCCTCCAGACTGTGGGATGGCAGTAAAACCACAATAGCTGGTGTCGGGAAAGCAAAGGAACAAGGTCCAAAGGGTCTTCTCCTTCCAGGGTCAGGTACCACGGGGGCGGGGGGTCTAAGCAGGGGCCTTATACCGCGACCCTGGTCACCCTCAGGGGTGCCCTGGTGGAGGATGGGCAGGGGTTGGTGGTGCCCAACATGCAGGGGTGGGCAGAGGTGGAGCAGCCAGCAGGGGAGGCTGGAAAGGAGGACCTGAGGATTGGCCATGAAAACAAGAGGCACCTGGAGGGGCGAGGGCCATGAGGCTGGGCCCCCATCTCTCACCACATACAAAGGTCAACTCAAAACAGATTAAAGACTTAAATGTGAGACTGGAAACTATAAAAACTACAAGGAGAAAACATAGGAGAAACACTTTATGACATTGGTCTGGGCAAGAATTTGGAGGGGGGTAAGACCTCAAAAGCACAGGTAATAAAAGCAAACATAGACAAATGGGATTCCACCAAACTAAAAAACTTCTGTACAGCAAAGGAAGCAATCAACAGAGTGAAGGGAAAGCCTGTGGAATGGGAGAAAGTATTTGCAAGCCATACATCTGATAAGGGACTAATAACCAAAGTGAATAAGGAACTCAACTCAACAGCAAAAATCAAATGATCCTATTTTAAAATGGCCACCAGGTATATGAAAAAATGCTCAACATCACTAATCACCAGGGAAGTGCAAATCAAAGCCAGAGTGAGACAGCACTGCACACCTGTTAGAATGACTCGAACCAAACAAAACCAAAGATGGCAAGTGTTGGCGAGGTTGAGGAGGAAAGCAGACCCCGTATACCACTGGTGGGAATGCTAATTGGTACAGCCATTATGGAAAACAGTAGGGAAGTTCCTCAAAAAATTAAGAATAGAACTTCCCTATGATCTAGCAACCCCACTACCGAGTACAGACCCAAAGGGAATGAAGTCCCTATGTCAAAGAGATACACTGAAAAGTCACAGTGAACCTCATAGATAGGTACAATGATTAGGTGTCAATTAACACAAAATTTTAAAAGAAGTATTGGCTCTGCCATCCCCAGCTAAATCGGATGGCCCATTGGCCTGTATTGGTTCATTCTCACATTGCTATAAAGAGCTACCTGAGGCTGGGTAATTTATAAAGAAAAGAGGTGTCATTGGCTCATGGTTCTGCAGGCTGTACAGGAAGCATGGCTGGGGAGGCCTCAGGAAACTTTCAGTCGTGGTGGAGGGTGAACACAGACATGCCGAGTTGTTTACTGATTTTCTATGACTGTTTTTGTGCTCCAATGACAAAGTTCAACAGTTACAACAGAGACGGCATGGCCTGCGGAGACGGAAATACTTACCAGCTGACCCTTCACAAAAACAGGTGGCCACAGAGCCACGTTCAGACATACCACGCGTGGCGGGGAGAGAGCCAGGCCTTTAGTGACCCACTTGGACGTTGGCCCATGGTTGTTGAGGGCTGTTCTTGGCGGCGCTAACTCCCTAGCATTTCCAGCCTTCTTTGCACTCAGCAGAGGAGGCCAGTAATCTGCTGGAGGCCAGAGGAAGCTCTTAGGTGCCCACATCAGCCAGCAAGTGGGTGCTAGGAGGTGTCAGCAGGGCACCAACAGGCTGGTGACCCCTTTACCTCGGAGGGAGGCAATCCACACAAAACCCTTCACCACTGCTCGGAGATGGCAGGTGCCAACGTTAGGCATGATTTCAGTTCTCAATAGCATTAGCCTCTTCCCACAGGACTTACGAAGAACAGCCCAACACCACAGAACCCCACGGAAGGGGCTCAGCTGCAATGTCACTACCCAAATCCTCCAGGAAGGGAAACCAAGTCCAGGGCTGTGTGCTTTGCCAAGAGCCTCTCTCTGACAACATAGCAATGATTAGCAATAAGGTGGCAAAGAATGCTGGTTTCATGCATTTTATTACTAATATGACTCCTGGAAGGAGGGCAGGCAGGACACTCACTTCCCCTGAGTAGGTTAGGTTTTCTGTATTCTGTTTTGCGAGGCAGGATTAGGAGAATCGCTTCAGGACATGGAGCAGCAGCGCTGCCGCCTCTGCGTTCACCGTGAGTACTCAGGGCCGTCTGTGCCAGAGAGACAGAATTCAACCAAATTGAAGGAGACGAGATGTCTCTTCCCAGGTTTCCCTAAATGGGTTGGCTTCAAATGGAAGAAAATACTGAAAGAGATTTTAAAAGAGCAATGCAGAATGAGACAGAAAAAGAGAAGAAGAAACCCCTAAGACAGGAGATCTCATCATGGAGTTGGAGCTGGACCAGGTGCAACAGTGAGATCCAAGAGGGGCCCGTGCCACCGCACCCCCTTTCCCGGGGGTCTCCATTTCTCTGTTCAGCTCGTCCTCTCTACCTCCCATGCCCTGGCCCTGGGGCTTGCCGGCTTCCTGACTCTTCACCCCACTTCTCCAAGCTCCGCCTTTGCACCCACCTGGCATGCTCCAGCCCTGCACCTGGTCTGTTCAAAACTCATCAGCAAGTCAAAATGTCCGAATGCCCAAGTACATGTCTATTTGCAATTATATGCACATGCTGCAAAACCCTATTAGGGACTATGTCCAGTTTTGAGATAAACATGACCAGGAGTTCTAACATTTCAGCCCTCAGGGGCTCATGGCCTCCTCCTGGCCTGCACCCTGCAATGCACATACCACACTCTAAACCCAAGGCCAGCAAGCGGCCCTGCCTGCATCTGCTCTTCACACCACTCTCATGTATGGGGAGGGATCCATCGCCAAAATGATTTCAAAAACCTTTTAGGCCTTTCCAGAGCATCCTCCCCAAAGCTCATCCTCCCAGAGCACACACCGTGCTCGCCTTGGTCTGTCCCAGAGCACTGACAAGCTCATCTTGGTCTCTTCCAGAGGCACTGCTAGGGCCCCCAGCCTGGGTTACGCATTTGCATTTGAGCAGCAGCTTCCTGGAAACAATTCCTTAGAGTGAAAAGCAGGCCCTGGGTCTGCACAATGAGAATGTATTTTGGGTGATGGTATTTTCTACTTCATCTCCAATCACCCAAACCCCAGGGGGTGCCTGCTGATGGTGTGTGGAGTGGACGTAGGGACGACTCTGGGAAGGTTCTTGGAAAAGGTTCAACTGACACCCACCAGTGACACGACAGCCCCTGTGGAGACCCTGACTCACACCTCCTCCGTCATCAGTCCCTCCACTCTCACACCTCAGCCCCAGCCCACTCCCCCTCTAGCAGCTCCCATGGGATGGGCCCTTGTTTCAGACAGTCTCTGTGGGCTCCCAGCCCTGCCTTCCCTTCCACACACTGTCCCCAGCCCCGGTGCCCAAACAGGACAGCTGAAGCCACCGCCCCTGTCCTGTCCCCCCTTGGTCCCAAAACCAGGCTGGAGAAGCCAGCGCCAGTAAGAGAGCCAGCCTCGAACTGCCCAGGCAGAGCTTGTTCAGTCCTGCCTACAACTGTGGAGCCAGCAGCCGTCCAGGAGAAGCACAGGCAGAGGCAAAGAGCAGAGGCCCCCCAACCCAGACCCAGCCAAGGTCAGCCAGCGGAGGCATCAGGGGCTCTGTCCCAGCCTTCAGAGCCTCTTCTTCCCGTGTGCCCAGTCCCTGCCACAGTGGGCCCTGTCCTCCTCGCTGGGGCCACCGATTCTCTCAAGGCTCTTACACTGCCCACTGTAACTGACGCGACGGAGGCCGCCTGCTCTTCCTCTGTTCTCTGATCAGCTAAAAGCCACCCATGAATTCCTGCATCGAGAGGGCAAGCTTCAGCCAGGAGACCTGAGAGTGTGTTTTTAAATCAATTGTAGCTAACTGGTGTCTTGTAACCAGCAGGCATGTGAGAGATGTCGTCCAAGGCTCAGGGACAGGTGCATGCCTTCCCCGGCCGCCAGGCTGAGCCATGACCCCAGCCCACCCCAAGTGAGCTCAGAGAGGTGAAATGCCTGTCCAAGTTCACGGAGCCAGGGCACAGCGGGGGCAAGGCTGGAACCCAGGGGGCCCCAAAGCAGCTGCCCTCGAGACTGGACGCAGGGCCTGGACTGGAGGTGCTGAGAAGGAACCCCAAAGGGCTTCTCTTTGAGTACCCAGGAGCCGGGTAACAGGGAAAGGCGCTGGCCCAGCAGCCTGGCCTCCTTGGGGAAGGGTTTGCTGGGCTCCCTGGAAGCCCCTGGACCCCTGTGGCACCCCTCTTCATACACACTCACCTCCACAGAACACCTCCGGGTCCCGGGCACCCCGGGCCAGCGCAGGCCCCAGCAGCAGGGCCAGCAGAGCCAGGGGCAGTAGCATGGGCCCCATGCCAGCTGACCGACTGTGCCGCCTCACACTGGCCTCCTCCCAGGCCCTCCCGGGTCCTTCCGCCAGCGCTGGGCATGCAGCAGAGAAATGGCATACAAAGTCCCCGGGCCACACGGCCCTAGATACCCGCCCCACCCAGCAGGTGCTGCACCTGGGCCCCTTCCCAGTGAGCCAGCTGCACCTGCACCGCACAGCTGGTCCTCTTCTGGTCCCCGCCCCACCCCACCCCCACCCCCACCCCCACCCCAAACCTGCCCTGTCTGCCCTTCCCTCAGTACCCAATCACCTCCACCCCACATCCCCACACCTGTCTAAGGTTCTCACACCTGTCTCAGGTTCCCACACCCTCATCCCCATCCCACCACCCCGCCTCCTCCCCGCCCCCGCCTCCCTTCCCGCCCCCACCTCACCCTGCAGTGGCTCATGCTGCACACCTGGGCCGCTTCAGGTGCTCAGGAAACCTCAGCCCAGTTGGTCAGCACCCTGTGCCTACCTCACCCCTAGTCCCCCATCCCGGCCCTCCTCCTTCCCTGCACTTCCTCCCCCTCTATTCCCACTCCAAGGCCAAGTCCCCACGCTTTGGTCAGGTCCCCAGCCCTGTCCCACTTGATCTCACACAACCAGCTGAATTCCCCCACACCCATGTCCCTCTCTCCAACCCCACCCCCTGTCCTGTCCCACCCCCTACCTTCCCCCATCTGCCAGGGCCATTTGTCATCCTCTGTGGATCACAGGTATGAGCCCTGGAGCTCAGGCCCTGCCACTCAAAGCCCTGAGGAGCAAACCCCCTGCAGGTAAAGGTGTGAAGTCCCTGGGCCTTCCTCTGTGGATCACAGGTATGAGCCCTGGAGCTCAGGCCCTGCCACTCAAAGCCCTGAGGGCAAACCTTCCCCCTGCAGGTAAAGGTGTGAGGTCCCTGGGCCCCTCTGGGTGGGGGGACATCCTCCAGGGTTCTGAGAAGCTCCTCCTGTCGGGGACCCTGCCTTTATCTTCCTGGGGACCTTCCCACCCCCATGCCACTCTTCTTCTCCTTTGTACCCTCCCATGGACCCCCTTTCCCTACTTTATCCCTGCACACCCCATAAGCCTCTGAGTGGGAGGAGCTGATGCGTGTGCACTCTGACAGGACCCTGCCTTGAAAGCAGCGGCCCCTTCTCAGAGGAGCAGGGCATAAAAAGCAGGGCGCCCCCCTTGCCACCTCCCCTGGACGTGGAGCCTACACGGGGGTTGACTCAGAGCCTGCACTGGTGACCTCCCTAGAATACCCTGCTGTGGACCCAGCGGGTCCTGTGGGGCACAGGCGGTGGAGAGGGAAGGCTAAGTGTTTAGTGCAGGGAGGAAAATGCTGTTCTGAGTGATTGTCTCCACATTCATCTCATCTGCATTTTCCATGGTGCTCTGTTTGCTTCTGAGCACTTGGTCCCTAAAATAATGCTGGCCCCATCAAAGATGACAACAGGGAGTGACATTTAGAAGAAAATGGAGGTGAGGAAGAACAGGGGTGTGGGGAGAAAGGAAGGAAGGAGGAAAGACAGAAGGGAGGAAAGAGGGAGAAAGAGAGGAAGGAAGGAGGAAAGACAGAAGGAAGGAAAGAGGGAGAAAGAGAGGAAGGAGGGAGAGAGGAAGGAATGGGAGGAAGGAGGCAGGAAGGGAGGAAGGAGGGAGGAAGGAAGGAGGGGGAAGGGAGGAGGGAGGGAGGAAGGAAGGAGGGAGGGAGGAAGGAAGGAGGGGGGAAGGGAGGAAGGAGGGAGGAAGGAAGGAGGTAGAGAAGGAGGAAGGAGGGAGGGGGAAGGGAGGAAGGAGGGAGGGGGAAGGGAGGAAGGAGGGAGGAAGGAAGGCTGGAAGAAGGAAGGAGAGAGGAAGGGAGGGAAGGCAAGGGAGGGAAGATGCCCCAGGATCTCCTGGTAACCACTGTCCCATATGGACTCTGCATCCCTCTGAGGACCCTGGCACCTTTTAGTGCAGAACAGCATCTGGAAACCAAGCTCGGGGTGCTCACTGCATTCACTGCTGCAGGGGTGTCATGGCTCCCAGGCTCTCAGGGAACAGAAGGAGGAAATACCTGTATATATCCGTATAGACAGACATGCTCACCCCAACACACATGTGTATGTCTCGCTGACTGTTGCTGGGTCTATGTGTACATTTTACTGAACCTGTCAGTTGACACTGAGACCCCAGTCCCAATCTGGCCACCTCTGGTTCTTTCTCATTTTCTCCCTTTCCAACATTAGTAGGCCCTTCTCTGACAGCAAGAAACCGGGCTCCTGTCTTCCTGGAAAGGTGTATTTGCTCCATTCTCTGCATATCTCCCCAGCCCCTGCCACTTCTTCATGTCACTTGCTCCCCTCCGCAAGCTATGTCATTTACCAGGCCCCAAAGAATGGGCTCCATAAATAACAGCCTTGTGGGATCTTTATGGACAGTTTGCCGCATGCCAGGATCTGTGCTTTATGCAGGGATTCATCTTTAATTCACTCAATATCCCCAACCTGTAGATAGGAAGCCGAGCCTAAGGAAGATGTAGTCATTTGCTCAAGTACACTTGCTCGTATGGTTAGTGACATCATTTTATTTTTAGCCAGGGCAGCAGTGTGCTCAGTTCCTGGTCACCTTGCTCCTAGGTGTGTCTAGGAGACGAAGCTCTGGCCTGTGAGATGTAAGTAGAGGCTGTTGGTGGGGCCTCTGAAAAGTTTGTTGAAAGTGGGAAGACTGGCCGGGCGTGGTGGTTCACGCCTGTAATCCCAACACTTTGGGAGGCCGAGGCAGGTGGATCACTTGAGGTCAGGAGTTCAAGCCTGGCTAACATGGTGAAACCCTGTCTCTAATAAAAATACAAAAATTAGCCGGGTGTGGTGGCGGGCGCCTGTAATCCCAGCTACTCAGGAGGCTGAGGCAGGAGAAGCACTTGAACCCAGGAGGTGGAGGTTGCAGTGAGCCAAGATTGAGCCATTGCACTCCAGCCTGGGCAACAAGAGTGAAACTCTGTCTCGAAAAAAAGAAAACTGAGTAAGGATGTGAGCAAAAAGAATAGCAAAATTAAGAATTTGATAACACAAGGAGTTGGTAGTGGTCTGATGAAACATCAGTCTCATATCACTTGTGGGACTGTAAGTGGGTACCGCCTCCAGTGAGGGTTACCTGGTAATAGTCAAATAATCATTGAAATTCTAAGCAGGCATCCTGGGTGACCCAGTGATTCCTCCTGCAGGAATTCACTCCACACATACACTCGCACAGGTGCACAGTGGTTCGTGTCTGAAGTTACTCATTGCAGCATTGTTTGAAACAGTCAGAGATTAAAAAAAAAAAAAATCTGCTTTCAGTAGGAAACGTGTTTAAAGTATGGTGCAATGAACTACCATGTCAGGGAAAAGAAAGGAAAATTTCTTTATGGAATGCTATGGTATAATCTCCAAAACTTTTTTTAAATTTAAAAAAAAAAAAATATTCCAAACAGTGTGTATATAGCAGGTCCTTGACTTGTGATGGTTTGACTTGTAATTTTTTGACTTTATAAGGATGTGAAAGTGACATGCAGTCTACAGAAACCATACTTCAAATTTTGAGATTTGATCTTTCCCAGGCTAGGATATGCATCACGAACTCTCTCAAACCTGGGCGGGGGCAGCCACAGCCCCCAGTCAGCCCTGAGACCATGAGGGTGAGCAACCTGCCCTCTGCAGTGGGCTGTGCTGCCCAGTGATTCTGCCAGTTGTGGGCTGATGTGAGTGTTCTGAGCATGGTTAAGGTAGGCGAGGCTACGCTGCGATGTTCCCTTGGTTGGGTGTATTAAATGCATTTTGACTTAAAATACTTCCGACTTATGATGGGTTTACTGGGATGTGATGTCATCCTAAGATGAGGAGCGTCTGTAATGTAATATGCTACTCTTTGAGTAAAATAAAATATTTCTGGAAGGATACCAAGATCAGTCTCCTCTGGGTAGAAAACCTAGTGGCTGAGGGCCCTTGGATAATGAAAAATCTGGCCTTTGTCCCTGGTTCCTGGGTGGGAGACTCTAAGTCCTGGGAACTTCCCCAGTGGTTAAACTGTCTTTATTGTTCACATGACTCATGGTGGGCCCTGGTAGCTTGTACTGATGAGGTGAGCCAGCGTGGCCCCTGGATACCTGCAGGATGGGAGGTGGCCACTAGCAAACCCAATCATGTGATTAGAGGGCTAAGACTTTGGGCGCAGGGCTGTCAGCCCAACCTGCTGACCTCTGGGAGGTGGTGGAGGAGCTGGAGACTGAGCTTTCCCCAGCTTGGCCGATCACTCAACCAATCGTGTTTATGGAATGAGATGCCAATAAAAGCTCTGACTGTGGGGCTCCGTGGAAGGCCCCGATGTGCCTGGAAGATGACGTGTGCTGATCCATAGGGCAGGACATGGAAGCTCTGCATTGGGGACCCAACCAGCCCTCGCCCCACGTGTCTCTTCATTTGGCTGGCCTGATGTGTGTTCTTTATTATGAAAATGGGATTGTGGCCTGGCGCGGTGGCTCAAGCCTGTAATCCCAGCACTTTGGGAGGCCAAGATGGGCGGATCATGAGGTCAGGAGATCGAGACCATCCTGGTTAACACGGTGAAATCTCATCTCTACTAAAAAATACAAAAAACTAGCCGGGCGAGGTGGCGGGCGCCTGTATTCCCAGCTACTCGGGAGGCTGAGGCAGGAGAATGGCGTAAACCTGGGAGGTGGAGCTTGCAGCGAGCGGAGATCCAGCCACTGCACTCCACGCTGGGTGACAGAGCGAGACTCTGTCTCAAAAAAAAAAAAAAAAAGAAAATGGGATTGTGGCCAGGCACAGTGGCGTACGCTTGTAATCCCAGCACTTTGGGAGGCCGAGGCGGGTGGATCACCTGAGGTCAGGAATTCAAGACCAACCTGGCCAACATAATGAAACCCTGTCTCTACAAAAATACAAAAATTAGTTGGGCATGATGGCTGGTGTCATCATGCTGGGATTCCAGCTCCTCAGGAGGCTGAGGCAGAA